ACCTAGAGTCTTCTTCTTTCTCTCTCTTTATTATACAGTAGACGTAAACCTAGCTACTAATAACATTACGTAATTTAGGGGTTTGTCTAAGTTAATAGTCTAGTTTCTAACTTGTGTACTAGACAAACTAATTACTAATTCTAACCTCTTTAGACTTAAGTAAACGTCGTGTTATGTTATCTAAGAGAGGCCGAGGATAACGTTGTACGACACTAGGTTTAGAACTACGTAAAAGTAGCTTTTCTCTTTTACGTAGCTATTAATATTAGTATTAACTACTACGACCTTATTAATCATACTCTCTAATAGCTACTTAAAGCTAGTAATCGTATAAGGCCTATAACTAATACGCTAGAGATAGTGTTTTTAGGTAAAACAAGAGTCTATTAGTCTGTACGATAAGTAACCTAAATCTACTAGCGTACAGGCAAAACATTCTCTATTAACTAATATTAATACTAAGAAGAGAAGGTAATCTATTACCTCCTTCTTAAACCTCTACTAGTCCTAGTCTTATACCTTCTTTACCCCTCTCTTTTACTCTTATTTACGCTTTTAAACAAGAGCTACTTGTTTTTTAAGTTCTCTTCTTCTAGTACGTCTTCTTTGTCTAATAGTTCCTTAACAGCCTAGCGTATTATTATACACGGCCTTAAGGTAGACGCTATAGCTGTTCTCTTAGGTTAGGTTAAGCTATTAGGTCTCTAAGCTAGTAGTAAGTAATATTCTTAGGTAAAGTAGTTCTTACTACTATATTGTAAGTACTCTCTAGCTATACGGCACTAACTAATAACCTTGTCTAATACTTACTAAGCTTGCTACTATTATTATAGACAGGTAGTAGTAACCCTTGTCGTACAAGTTAGTTCTTAGTCTATCTAGTCGTTAGGCCGGTTGTTTCTTAAGGGTAGGGTATAGTAGGCCTTAGCCTAGTAGCCTGTCTGTCTTTGTCTAGGCCTCCTAATAGCGTTAAGGTTATAGCTTGTAGTCTCTAAGAGCTTACAAAAGTCTATATACGACACAGGTATGTCCTAGGCTACAATTACTAGCTTAAGCTTGTCTAACACGTTACTCTTTAAGAAGGACTTCTTTATGTCGTTATCCTAACTTAGGCCTTTAGCCTCTAATAACGTACGCTTAAAGTCTACTAAAAACGCTATAAAACTCTAGTTTCCTTACTCTAACTTATATAACTATATCCTAACTAACTCTCTTAACTTTACGTCGTTAAACGCCTACTAAAGTTGTTCTAATAGCTTAAAATCTATCCTCTCTCTAACTATTAGTCTGTTTTATACGTTTAACCTAACCTAAGAGGTAACCTAAGTTAAGGCCTTACTTACTAGTCGGCTATAAACGTACTAGAATTATATAGTTAGTGTATTAGAGGTAAGGTCTACTATAAGTTTAGCTTTAATTACTAAACGCTATATAGTAAACTAGGCCTTAGTTCTATTAAACATAGTAGTATCTAAAAGGAGCCTCTTTTGCTACTTAGCTAGCGGCTTAGCTAGCGGCCTTATAAGGACAGTAGTAACAGGTAATAGCCCTAGGACTATAGACAAAGGCGTTAGGGCGGCTAAGATTAGCGTAAGAGGTAACAGGTTAGCGTGTTAGGCTACTTAGGCTTAAAGCTATTATACGACTTGTTTTAACTACTTTACTTTATACTCTAGTTATTCTTCTTAACTCTATCTAGTAGATAACTACTCTTAGTTATCTTATCTTATAAACAAGCTAGTAAAAGGTGTCTAAAAACTTATTATTAGGTAGTCTAGCTCTATCTTATACTCTTGTACAACAGAGCTACAAAAAGCTCTAATTAGATAAAAGGGGTAAGAGTATTCTAATGTTAGGGGCTAACAACACAATACTTAGGTAAATGTCGGTTTTATTCTATAAAGAGAATACTCTAAAGAGAAAAGAAAGGAAAGGGTTTATACGAGGTAAGAGGTAAGAGAAAACTCTACTATTAGGGCAGGGTAACGATAGTCCGGTTAGTTACGTGCTTAGTACTAACCCCTTACCGGGTTCTGACCCGTGACACTCGCCTAGTCTATAGCTACTAATACTTAGGTTAGCCTAAGACATCTTGTCTTACTTAAGAGTCCTTACCCCTTAAGAGTTCTAGAGATCTTGCCCTTATAGCTAGGATCTGTCGCTCTTTTATTATAGTACTAGCGACTCTTATTAAGAGTACGCCTCTTAGCTTCTTTCTTAAGGCTAAGAGTAAGTCTTACCTAATCTTGTTAGTACTAGACTAATAGTCTAGGCGCCTTAACAGGCTGTTAGTAAGGTTACTCTTACTTAGCTAGTACTTAATACTAAAATTAAACTTAGCTAGCTTCTAGACCTAATATACTTGTCTCTTATTTAGCTTCTTCTTTTTTATAAACTGTTTTAGGT